CAGGGTAGGTATATTCCCTTTTTTTATACATAGGTATGTGTTTATCGAACAGTTTATACATTAGATCATAAAATAAGCAACAGGCAGAGTTAATATCAGTGGATTTATTAAGGAGAGACCAATCAGTATTTAGAATATCCTCATATAGATTAAGAAAATTGGCCTTACGAAAATTGTAACTGGTTCCATTAGACGCTGCTTTCAGAAAATTGCTTGATGATATGTTATTCACAAATACACCTACATGGAGAGAAGGATGACGTGGATCTTCATCTACAAATGGATCATCAGAAGTTAATACTGAACAGCACATATTGAATAAGACGATGTCAAGAAGCCGATTATCACAATTTAAAATGGTATTAAACTGTTTCAGTTCAAACATTTTCATAAAATTACACAATTCCAAACTTTTTATACAATGAGGATTACTAAGAGATGAAAAAAATTCAGGTATATTAAAGTCACCAATTATAAGAATATTGGAGTCATCCAACAGCTCTAACGTTACAAACGCCTCAAAGATTAATTGATAGTAATCTAATGCCAACGAAGGAGGAATATATAGGACAAATATTGTGATAGATAAAGAAGCAATCAACACCTTAACACAGACAATGTCAATAAGGTGAAGGTTATTAAAAGGAGTGTTAGATAGATTAATTTCAGTATAATGGAGTCCCAATCTAATCGCAATAAGCACACCACCACCTGTCTGTTTGTTGGTACGCAACAAGTCTCTGTCCCTTCTAATGATTTCATAGTTTTGGTCAAAGACTTCACTGTCATTAACTCCACTGTGCAGCCATGTCTCAGAAAGTGCGATTAAATCATAGGCACAGGCAGCTACAGCATTGGAGAACCGCAACAGCTTGGAATTGAGACCACGAACATTTTGATAATAGAGAGATATATTTCCTTTATCTACACTCTTGTTCGATATTGCTGGAGATGATGCTGATGAGGAAGAAATTAAGTTAGGAAAATAGTTTAATTGCTACAAGCTAGATATCCCAAAGACATCTAACTTGATTTTCTCAATAGTCCGTTTATAAAAAAAACAGTTGTTAATGTCCCAGCAAGCATGGGAAATGTCCTCATCACTTAAATTGTCTTTAATTTGAATGCTAACACAGTTGATACATCGCAGTTGTTCATTAGTAGCATGACAATCATTTACCCTATGTGGACCAGAGCACCTAGGGCAAGAGATTTTTTTTTTACAAGTCTTTAACGAATGATTAAGACCATTACAATTAAAGCATCTAATTACATCAATAGCGTCATAGATGTTACAACCATCAAGCCCAATTAGGCAATGACCATAAAGAAGAGCATTTTTGTATGTAGAGATGTTAACCTCTAATATGACTTGAAAATAATAATTATTACGATTTTTTATAGGAAAGTATTTAAGAATTTTGCACTGAGAACATTCACTGAAGATATGTTTATTTTGTTTAATAAGAAATGGAATTATCTGTTGCTCATCAATATCACTGGATATGCCAGAAATGCGCAGCTTCGGTTTTGGAGTCTTTAAGTCGCTTATTTCATACTTATCACTCAAGTCTTTTAACTGAGATATTTTTTTGAGTTCACTAGGATGTTCACAATTAAGAACTATACCACCATTTTTAATAAATTTAACTTTTGCAATGCCCGGTTCACTATCAGGTTGAATGTTGGATATGATATCAGATTTATAGATACTAACGATTATTTTACAGAAATACATTTTACACGATCGTCATTACTCGAATGCTTGGAAGAGAAACATATATTTGAGGGTTCTGTGAGCTCATTAGGAAGAATTTTACTTCTATCGGGTTTCGTTATTCTCCAACAAATGTGCGGAAGCGTCTTATGGAATTACAACATGTTGTTCATGCAAAAACCAAATTCTTACGTGAATACATGCACAATCAGCAGAACCCCAATCCTTTGCAATGTGTATATCTTGATGAAATATGGATATTTGAAAATGGGTCGGTAGTTAGGTCATGGCAAGACGATAGTGTCAAAAGTATCAGGACGTTCAAAATAGAAGGGAAAAGGTAGTAATGTGTCAGTTTCATGTCAGTTATTTATTTTTCTCACTATATTTTAGATATATTGTGTTAGATGCAGGTACAAGCAATGGATTTATTGATGAAGCAGCGCTGGTATTTTCTTCTAATACCAAAAATCCAGACTATCATGGCGAAATGAATCAACAGAATTTTCTCAAGTGGTTTGAAAATCAATTGCTCATGAATCTTGAGCAACCATCACTGATTATTATGGACAATGCAAGCTACCACAGTATCCTTGCAAACAAATGTCCCAATGGTTCATGGAAAAAAGCAGAAATTCGTGAATGGCTTCAACAACATGACATAAGTTCAGATCCATAGCTCTTAAAAACGGAACTTCTTCATTTGGTTGCACAGTAATGCAAATACTATTCTCTATAGTTTCATTTAAAATATCATGTTTTTCAGAAACAAACCTCCAAAAACGAATGTTGCCGATGAATTGGCCCAACAGTATGACTATAGAGTATTGCGATTGCGGCCATATCATTGTGTGTTTAACCCTATAGAAAATATTTGGGGAATTACTAAAAATTATTATTCCAAAACGGGAGTGGTGGGAACAGGAATTATTATTTGACCGTGAAGAGATTGCGCCGTTTATAATGGACAATCGACATTAACGAAGATTCAGATTATAGTTTTAGTGATTATGACAGTGAAAATTCTAATACTGCAGAGGGCATTCAGCCACTGTAATATGTAGGTTATTTTCCATTACCATGCTAATTGATTGTACTAACGACATGTTCTGCTGTTGTCTTTTATAATCACACTATCACTTCACTGGTCAAATATACAGATCACTGGTCAAACGAAGACGTTGTGCAATGTTGTTTATTGCTCTTTTTGAAACTTTAACACTCGTTCGGTTGTAGTTTAATATCAGCGTTATAGAAATTGAATAGAATTGGGGTAAATAACACAGCAACATGTGGCGGAAGCGGAGTGCGCAGTTCCTTGTCGAGCTGGTGGAATTTATCGCACCATCTGCACAAAATACGCAGATCTTGAATAGAAGTTAGGGAAGCGGTTGGGATGCCATGATGCTCGTAACGGCCTGTTCGCGCGGAACATTTTTTCGTGGTAGAGGGGTGCTGGGCGGCATGTGCTTGCCGATAGAGAGATTCACCGTCATGGGTTGGAGAACAGCCACAACCAGGAGCCCCAAACTTCGCTCGTGCTACAGCCTTACCTGTGGGTAAATTTGCTGTGCTCTAGAGTGAAATTGATTTAGTTCGATCGCCATACTCTTATAGCGACCCAGGTGGCCCCTCCACTTTTGGAGTCATAGGCATTCACGAGGAAGCGCTCTGGTGCCGCTGTCGCTGTGCGAGTTTTTATTAAAATTTTGTTCTCTTGTTGACTGCCATAATTTTAAATTTGCTGCTACACGTGCGTAATTCAAAGCTAGGAGAGTTTTTTTGTAGTTGAGAACTAAGAGGTCTTCAACTTGCACAACTTGGTCGCAGCTTTTTTTTCCTTTTTTTGTCAGTGGAAGAATAAATGATTTTGTGTTTTATTTAGCGGTACTTTTCCAACCTTGGAGTTCATCACTTTGCATCTGGACGCATTCCGCCACAAAAAAAAAAACAAACACAATATGCGGTTCCATTTTGTTAAACGGTCAAGGCCAAATTTTTGAATTTTTTAATTTTTCGCGGGCTTTTAAAACTTGTTCAAGTGGCAATTAAGAGCGGGAAGTTTGAATTATCACAATAGATTTTAAATTGAATTCTGAAAGAGTGTCTTGCCTAGGATAGCTCCCAAATTATACTCAGGTCCGACGATAAACTGTAGATTAGATCCACATACCTACATGTGTGTTAGGCGATAAAGTGGTCCTTCTACGTCGTTCAATTTGCTATCACAGGTTATGGTGTTTCAAGAAGAAATTAATACATACATTAACACAAATAAAAACGAACCAATTCAATGTTAAACTGTTAAAAAGACAATTACGACATAGATCTAGAAATAGAGAAAGTGCATATATATATATATATATAAATGATTATAGGGTCGAAGTAGGTCAGGGAAGCGTGCCACCTCTCATTTTATATGAACTTAACCAAATGCTCAAAAACTCACGACAAATACCACACGCATCTATATTGCGTAAATGCTTCATATCTTGTTCAAAAAAAACTAATTCATTAGTATAAAAAGAAATAAATTTATTGTGGTTAAACATTACAATAAATGTTGAAAATATTCACCATTTTGTTCAAAGCACATCTTCACTCTCTTCTTAGTTTCAAAAATGTTCTGTAACATCTTTCGTCAATGCTTTGGGCCCATTGTTCAATTTCATGTTGAACCCGGAACTCCCGAGTGCTAAGACAATCTTGCCAAAGACTGCGTATTCTGCTCGAGTCATCTCAAATCCTCAACAACTTTTTCAGATACTGAAGGTCTTCCAGGAGATTTCCATTTGTTAACACTTTCGAACAAATCTGACCTCTAACGATGTTTCTTAAATTTGCAAATCGTGATAATTGAAAAATTTTGGTTGTGTATATTGTTCACAGGAATAAAATTCACACGAAACGCATTTTCAGTTTCATGAGCATTTTTTAAACGACTTACACGTCCTGTTTATTGTTGCCCTCGACAGCTAAGCTTTTCACGAGCTGATAAAAGCACTTTTCAATTAGTAATTATTTTAATCGGGTTAATATTATTTAGAGCAAAGCTGCAATTATATATGTAATTTATAATCAAAGAAAGCTGTTAGTTTGTGATAAATTAGAACTATAATCCATATAACATTTTTAAGTGTGTTAGCGGTTAAAATATTGTTTCCCAGCAGTTAAACACAAAAACATTAAACGATAACAGCTTTATGGCTGTAGGAAACAAAGATAAGAACGACCCTAACATACAAATATATATGCAAACTTAAAGAATCACAGCAAACACTGGTTAACACAGTTTTCGTTTAAACACACGCGGTAGTTTCAGATCAACTTGCAAAAATGCTAACAATTTACGACTACGTAATACTCTGTGCCATGTTATTAATAAGCGTCGCTATTGGAATCTACTTCGGTTGCTTTGGAACTAAACAAGCGACTACTAATGAATATTTACATGGTGGCAAAAAAATGGGCGTGATTGCTGTTGGAGTTTCTGTAGCCGTGAGGTATTTTGGCATACTTCAAATTGTGTTTCAGAAGTTACTGATTTATTTTCAGCCATTTTTCAGGAGTGACCATGATGGCTATTCCAGCAGACGTATACCGATTCGGAGCCTATATTATCTTCATCAATCTGTCTGCTATTTTGGTCGGACTCCTTTCAGTTTATGTTTATTTGCCAGTCTTCTTTAAATTACAAATTACTAGTAGTTACGAATATCTAGCAAAGAGATTTGACAACCGTACTAAACAGTTGGCGGTGTATTTGTACCTCTTTTCAGAGATTGTCTTCTTTCCAATGCTAGCATATATTCCAGCTTTAGCGTTTTCAGCCAGTAGGTGAAATAACTATAATCTCACTTTACTACAAATTCACTTCCAGCGAGTGGTCTCAGTGTTAATTTAACAGCGTTCGTAGTTTGTGGTTTGTGTATCTTCTATACTACAATTGGAGGACTAAAGACGGTGGTTTGGACCGATTTTTTCCAGTTTATTGTGATCATGGTATCCGTAACTATCAACTGTTATCTAGGTTTGAAAGAATCAGGTGGTTTTATGTCGGTTTGGAAAACTGCTTTAAGTGGCGAAAGACTTATTAATATTACGGAGTATTTTAAAACAGGGTTTAGAAGATTTCATAGTAATTTTATTTTTGTAGTTTTAATGTAGATCTAACACGACAAAATTCATTTTGGGCTTCGACTGTGGGATACACTGTGACCATGGCATCTACTATTGTCGTACATCAAACTGGAGTTCAGAAGTACTTGTCTGTTTCAAAATTTCGTCACTGCATTTGGTAATTTTTTTTCACGATGTGGTGCTAGCTAATGTATTATATTTTAGGTCTGTCGTATACAGCACATTTTGTAAATGTGCAGTTTCAACTCTGTGCGTCTTTATTGGTCTTGAAATATATGCCAAATACTCAGACTGTGACCCTCTAATCAGTAATAAAATCAAAAAACATGATCACATATTACCTTATTTCCTGACAGAAGTAGCAGGACAAACACCTGGAATTTTAGGTCTTTTTGTAGCGTCAATTTTTAGTGCTGCCTTAAGGTAATAATCACCGATTTATGAAATAAAGTAACTTAACTTTTTTTAGTTCGATGTCGTCACTTCTAAATTCGATAGCTGGAATTATCTATAACGATTTAATAAAGAAACGTTTAAAGAAGGAATATTCTGAACTAACACAAAGTAACATTTTGAAAGTACTTGTCATCCTCTGCGGGGTTGCATGTACTTGTTTAGTGTTCCTTATTGAACATTTGGGGCCACTACTTGCTTTAAATGTTGCACTCAGGGGACCAATTAACGGTCCACTTCTTGGAATGTTTACACTGGGAGTGCTTTTCCCTAAAGCTAATTCAGAGGTTCAATTTTCAAAATGATCTGGTGGCGTTTTATTCTTTCTTTTTGTTACTAGGGAGCTTTCTATGGTGGATTGATTAGCATCATTTGTGTGTCAGCGTTAATGATATTAACAAAATATTATGAACTCAGAAAGGTATTAGTTTATCCAACAAAGCCTTTCTCTGTCGACGGCTGTGAAAATGTATTTAAAAATTCGTCCACAAATTCCATACATCCTCATCTGGCTAATTTCACGACTACCACGTAAATATTGTTGTTTTTTTTTATTTTTTTTATGATTTTACGTTTGCAGTTCTGCTTATCAGGAAGTTCCATTTTTCTTGAAATTGTCTTTCCACTACTACACATTACTAGGTGGTATACTTACAATATTTATAGGAGTATTAATAAGTGGCATGACAGCAAAAAGTCAGAATCCTGTTGATGAAGATCTCATCAGCCCTATTTGTCAAAAGTTTGTTTCGAAAGAACGCCACAAAAAATACGATGAATTTCATGAGAAAGAAAGTAGGAAGCATCTGATGGAAGTTAATTCCGAACAAAATACTTCACTTAATGCTGTCTAACTTGTGGTAGTTTTAAATGGTATAACAAAAATAAAATTAAATCACGAACTGATAAATTTGTAGGGAATCATGTTGCCGCTGACCTTAACAACACAAAAATTCAATATGGTGGCTATTTTGGTTTGCAAAAATTAAATAATGAAGAGACGACCTACATAATTTGGTGACGCAATGGGCAGCTAAAACTACATAGAACAGAAATTTTAAAAATTACCTGGTATAATATTATTATTACCGTTAATATAAGTATTAAAAAAAATTGGTCTAAAGAGTTTAGACAGTACTTCCCTCGCTGTCGGAAACTTTACGACTGCATGCCTATTGTGTTTTTTTTTTCTCATTACATTTTTGTAGTGGGAATTTAAAGAAAAATTGTGATGACGTCATCAACATTTTTGCAAGGACACGTATATCAGTTGGGATAGATGTAGTGTAATACTAAGAATAAAATTATTGTATTCCCAAATTTCCGGGAAAATGAATTGGGTCGTTTTGAATATTGATTTCTTATAATCAATAAAATAACGATACAGTTTACTCACGTATACGGCGCCGGTGTCTAATATCTAGAGAGCGGATTTCTGTCGGGCTAGGCAACGCTGTTTCGTTGCACTCTGCTGTTAATTCCCGTTCTCATTTACTTAGCCGTTTGATTAATAAATCTTTAATTATATTTATGGAATTAGAACCAATTAAATTCAGTGATTATCTATCACCCGCTACTGAGTCCCGGCGATCCAGCGCGTCCCCACCTATAATCGTGACGTAGCCCGACAAAAATCCGCTGTCTAGTAATATGAAAGGCAACTGAAAATCGTTTATGTATAAACATTCTTAATTTAAGATGACAAGCGTAACAGCATACGTGAGAGTCAAACAGAGAAACTGTAAACAAAACGACCATCGGTTTTATTGCTTCGACTTCCGCTTATTATATAAAACATTGGGTTTTATTTTAATTCTGGACGGTGAAATTCACAATTGGTTGATTATAAACATGTCTATTCCACATTCGCGTAACCTAGACAGCGCACACGTCTGTAATGTTAAAGTCGATGTAAATAAGCGTGCTACCCTTATGTTTCAACCGAGTTTTTACTTTAAAAAATTTTGTGTCTACCAAATTGGGTTGGTCCAATGTAATACTAATAATAAGTGTTGCCTTTAATTTAATCAATAAAATAAATTGACTTCATTAATTTTTTTGAGCCACCTCTTAAGAAAATCTAAACAATATGAATGAAGTGATAAATCACAAGTACAGACTCATCATATTTTTACGCTTTAGATAAGATTTATTCGGCAAACTTTCGAGCTGACGTCATCAAATTTTTTGAGGGGGGATTAGCAAATACATTTTGATAAAAAAGTTAACGTGCTTATGATAACTTTAATACATCTTCTATGTTTCAAAGCATTCGGTTTTTGTTGTTCCTGATTAACTCAATAAAATAAATTCAAGCATTCATTAATTTTTTGAGTCACTCTGTATATGCAAATCGAAAAAATTTTAATGGAATGATAAATCACAAGTACAGGCTCATCCTATTTTGTACATTTTAGATAGGATTTATTCAGCAAAATTTTGGGGTGACGTCATCAATTTTTTAGGGGGGATGAGCAAACACATTTTGATAAAAAATTTACCATGCTTATGATAACTTTAAAACATCTCCAAGATTTCAAAGCATTCGGTTCTGTAATTCCTGATTAAATCAATAAAATAAATTGACGCAGTCATTAATTTTTTTCGGTCACCCTGTATATGCAAATCGAAAAAATTTGAATGGAATGATAAATCACAAGAAGAGACTCACCATATTTTGTACATTTTAGATAGGATTTATTCAGCAAAATTTTGTGGTGACGTCATAAATTTTTTAGGAGGGGACGACCAAATACATTTTGATCAAAAATTTACCATGCTTATGATAATTTTAAAACATCTTCAAGATTTCAAAGCATTCGGTTTTGTAGTTCCTGAGTAAATCAGTAAAATAAATTTTGCGCATTCATTAATTTTTTTGAGTCACCCTGTATATGCAAATCCAAAAAATATGAATGGAGTGATATATCACAAGTACAGACGCATCATATTTTGTACATTTTAGATAGGATTTATTCGGCAAACTTTTGAGCTGACGTCATCAAGTTTTTGGAGGGGATAACCAAATATATTTTGACTAAAGATTTATGATGCTCTTTAGAGCCTTAAAACATCTGCAACATTTTAAAACATTCGGGTTAGCAGATTCAAAATTAAATTGCAAAATGTTGTTTTATGATTTTGATTTTTTTTCCAAAAATCTGGACGTTTCGGGTAAAAACTGAATTCGGAGTCGTAAACTACATGTGTAGGACTATGTTATTTTATACAATTTAAGACCCATTTACTTTGTACAATTTTGAAGTGACGTCATCGGATTAGTGGTGGGGATGATTAGACAAATTTTGGTTAGCGTTTTACCATCTACATGATATTCCTACTGTAAGTACAAAATTTCACAACAATCGGTCCAGTACTTTCGGAGATTATCTGTCTAATAAAAATCCGGGACGGCAGACGGACAGACGGACGGACAGACGGACGGACAGACAGACGGAAATGGGAGACCTATTTTTTTCGTATTCTAGGACTCATGAAAGATCGAGAAAACGTAAAAGTAGAGAGTCGGCCGACGGACTCGATTACAATACTTCCTTTGCTTACGCTCGGGAAGTAAAAATAATATTGTATGCAGGATCTGTTGGGTTATCAACAATAAACAATCTATCTACATCAGTATATAACCAGAATACTCATGGGTAGTGTATGTATACCGCTACATTACTTAAATTTACAATAAACAAAATTCGTATTTCATTATTATTATTAGGTCACGACTAGAGATATTAAAAAACGATTTCTTATTAAGTGAGTTGTGTTTTCTTGTTGTTGTAAACATTTACCAGCTTTAATTGAATAAGTAATCAAAATATACTTTTTCCCTAAATTACCAAAAATTTTTTATTTAATAGAGTCAAGGTTTCGACCAACGCTAACACGTGGAGTAAATTTGTTTTATTGTTTGTAAATTCACAGCTCATGTTAGGATTTTAATCGGTACTGGTTCTAACACAAACATGAGATTATTTAGATATAGCACTTGCCAGGAGATTTCATGAAATTCACTTAGTCAAGACTCATCGTTTCTTTATCAAGTTATAGATAAGGTTTCTGGATGCTTATACTTAAGTGTTACATTATAACACTCCTTAATTCCTCACACAAGATTGCTAATAGTTCATTTACTGCAGTTAAATTAATCTAACGTTGTCCCATTCTGCGAATCCATCATATGAATTGTCTGATGTCCAATTTTAATCTCGCATGAAAAATCTTTGCTGTTTAAAATTTCACAAGAATGTATGCCGAATTTAAATGTTGTTTATTGCCCTTTTTGAAACTTTAACACTTGGTAGAAGCGGAGGGCGCGGTTCCTAGTCGAGCTGGCGGTCGCGCCATCTGCACAGAACGATGCAGGGATGACGTGACGCTCGTGGCTTGTCCCAAAAGCCGGGATTTCCAACCACTAGTTTGCGACCGTAACGGCCTTCTCGTGTGGCACGTTTCTTCGTGATAGAGGGGTGCCGGGCGGCAGTGCTTGCCGAGAGAATAGAATCACCGTCGTGGGTAGGAGAACAGCCACAACCAGGAGCCCCAAACTCCGCTCGTTCTACAACGCGCCCTATGTGTCATTTTGCTGTGCTCTAGAATGAAATTGAGATAGTGCGGACCCTCACGAGGGAACGTCCGTTGCCGCTGTGGCTATGAGTCCCCACGATACGTAGGTAATGGCCAGATTTTAAATTTTTCGCCGGTTTTCTAATTTTCTGCACATGTCTAATTTTGACGGGATGTTTGGGTTATCATATCACAATACCAAAAATCTTCCTTCTTTTTCGCCGACAAAAGTGTACTTGTATTTAATGCTGTCTTGATGCCTATCACAAGTTCTACAAATTTTGAAATTCTACATTTTCTTCATTCTGTTTGATTTAATATTGTTATACTGTGAAGACTAACGTAAATTTAAAAATGTATTTAGAGGAATTTGTGGAAAGCAGATTTGTTTCATTTAATATTTTGGACCTTCTAAATATTTTCCAAGAATTTTAAATTTCAAATGAGGAAGATTCTATAAAAAATGGGGATTTTATTATTATTTTTTTTTATAAAATTAGTTCCATTGACAATGCTGAGAAATCATAAAACAAAATAAAAGGAAATATGCTGCGTCTAACTCCGCACTCCGCTGTCCTTCGAAGACTGCAGGGTGTTCAGAAGTTGTCTGTCGAAGCAAATCACTACGTATAATACTTGCCTGAGGTCAATATTTAAACTGACCCAACACACCGCGAATGAGAATTGTTGTCTTGTCATTGAATGTTTTGTTCACGGCATGGAATTTGCAATCTATGCGAATACATACCTGACAAATGTAATTTTGACAAAAGATATGTAGTTATTATTTTTTCGGGAGTCATTGACAAATTGAACTCATGGACGAGCCACTACTACAGGAATATTAGGACAGTGAGTATCTTGGAGAATTAATTTTCAATTACCTACTTCCAGTCCATTTTTGACCGCTGTTCAAGCCACTGGAATTACAAATTTTCCCGGTTGTCAGAACTTCCCGAAGGAGACTAAAGGAAAGTGATTTGAAAAATTATGCCGCAGCCAGGAAAACTATTGTTAGACCGTATCACAAGGAAGAAAAAATGGTTTTCGTTAGAACATCTAGGTCATACCTTTGGACCCGAGTGGTATTCTCCGACGAGAAAGTTTTCAGTCATGCCCCAACGGTCGTCTCAGGATCAATAGAAGACGATAGACAATGAAAATTACGTTGATTTATCCAAATGTACCGGACGTTTTGCTGTTAATATGTGGGCATGGATTTCGGTGGACAGCCCTGGGGTAATTTTGCATGTTCAGGAAAGATTAAACAGTGGCTTTTTCTGTGGGATTACATTTTCCTAATAACAATGTGATAACCCAAACTTCCCGCCTTTAAATTGACCTTGAAAAAGTTTGAAAGGCCCGCAAAAATTCAAAAATTCAAAATTTGGCCTTGGCTGTGATCGTCTAACAAATGGCAACCTACGTTGTGCTTTTTTTTGAAAAGTGGCGGGAAGACGAAGAGCACGGCACCCCCTCACAGGAGGAAAGAAGCTGCGAAGATTTACTCCTCAGCGCAAAAACCCCCTTGTTATTATTTACGGACATATTACATTTCAAACACCTTAAGATATATGAAAAAAGGACACTCGCGAATTGACAGACATACACATATGAAAAACGAACAAACGCAACATCCTATACATCTGTTTGGAATCAATGCAAATATTTGAATAAGTATCACAAATTTAATAAAAACCTAGCAAAATCCGACTTAAGTAACTGGATGCAAATACACAAGTTATTACAGGCGTGTGGCGGCAGATTTTAAAGTTACGGCAGTTAACAGGAGCACAACAAAAGTACTCCTGGGGCGTGCTAGCACAAGCGGAGTTTGGGGCTACTGGTCTGGGGCTGTTCTCCCTCCACGACGGTAATTCTATCTATCACAAAGCCTACCCGCACGCATATCTCCATTACGAACGTGCCCTGCGAAACTAGGCCGCTACGATCGCAGGTCCATAGTTGGGTCTCGACTAGCACGAAGCCGACAGCGTTACAACACCGGCGATCGCTCCCTGACTATATACAAACCCGCCGACTTCTGCAGGTGACGCGATCAATCTCGCCAGCTCGACTAGCAACCGAACTTAGCTTTTGCCACGTTTTGTGTGTTCATTAACCTCAATTCCATTTTTAAATATTCAATCTCTTATAACTCTGATATTAACAACAACTAAACAAGTGTTAAAGTTTCAACGAGCAATAAACAACATTTAAATTCGCCATACAATCTTGTGAAAATTTAAACAACAAATAACTCTTATGTGAGATTAAAAATGGGACATCAAACAATTTATATGATAGAAACATTCATCAATAAAATATTTACCTACAAAACAGACTTAGCACGGATTTATGAAACAAAAGATCTGGTGTGAAATAAACTTGTACAAATAGAAATATTATGTGAGGTTAAAACTGTAGAACATGAAATTTACGTTCAATTAAAATTATACAACAAATAAAATTACTGAAATCAAAACTGTGAGATTGAGAAAGATTGTATGAGGTGGAAAATTGCAGAGTTAACAAAATTTACATGAGATTAATAATCGCCACACTTTTTCAATGATTCAAACGAAGAGTCTACATTATGCCAAATTATATCATGATCTAAGTGATTGATTACTTAAAAAAAAAACAATTTATTTTGAAAGTTTAAAATACCGCTAACAGGTTACTCCAACAAAACACATAATAAACAAACACAAAAATATCCAATCATCGCTCCGAGGGAAAAAGCGTCTCGATGATGTAAATTTTAAAATCGTTGCGAGGAATTTTCTCGATGAATTAATCATGATAACGATGATAACCACCTAAGGGAAGAAATTATCATAACCCCCGCCGGTTCGCAGTAGGTATAATGAACTTGTTTAACTGCCGTAAATGAACTATTAGGAATCTTGTGTGAAGAATTTGGAAGTGTTATAATGTAACACTTACGTATATGCACCCAGAAACCTATTCGTAATTAATCAACGTGGTGAGGACATGCCCCAGTGATGTGATCATGATAACGATGCTAATAACGATGATACCCTCCTAAGGGAAGAAATTATTTTAATCCCCCGCCAGTTCCCGGTATGAATTAGCTTAACTACCGTAAATGAACTATTAGCAATCTTGTGTGAAGAATTATGAAGTGTTGTAATGTAACACTTACGCATATAAAGGTATTATCCTGATTACGTGAATTTCTTGAAATCTTCTAGCAAGTGGTCAATTTAAATAATCCTGATTGTTAAATTGTGTTTGCACTAGCTGACGATTAAGAAAAACTAACTTTATTGGTGAATTTACAAACAAAGAAACAAATTTACAGCACGTGTTTCGCGTTGAACGACAGTCCGCAAATTTTCGATTAAAAGGCCGCAAGGATTAACCGCGCGGGTTGGGGACACCTGAGTGACATTAGCTACGATTGATTGTCGTTAAACAAAGGCTTCCTCCCATTTTATTAACTACCAAACCAACTAATTTAAACTTAACTCTTACCGCGTGTTTACACTTACACAAGCACATGCAGACTGCCCCTCCGCCATGCAGATTCTGTCTCTACCAACCCTAGCGCTACGTGCCGCCATATAACTCAATAATCATGCAAAACTAACCCCTAAGCGCTATTAATTGTCCAACTGCCAATGGATCAATGATAAAATATTAATTTTTTAAACTTCTTTTTTTTTAATTTGGTCTATTTCAAGATTTCTTTAATTAATTTAATAAAGAAATTTAAATAATAAAAATCTCAAAATTGTTATCATATTCTACTTTTTGCGTATAAATCAATTTTTCCTAAAAATTTACTGAACTGTTAAAACCATTTTAGTTAAAAGGCATACACCTGTTACATTTAAAAAGCATGGGTGAGGTCAATAATTATGGCTGCGGAATCTACCAAGCTTTATTATTAGTTTTGAGGTTATGAGCACTAAAAAATCAAAGATAGAAATCCAAGAATGGGATCCTCACTCATGTGTTCATGATTGTAAAGTACAAATGTTTATGCCCAAATAGCAAAATGTTACCACGGCATATATGTTACGTTGTTTTTATCCTCCTGACAGCCATCAAATAAGAAATAAGGTTAGGTGTGCGTAAAGCCATATTTACACTTTAATATTAATGTAATGTCTGTGGCAATGTGAAGTCGTTCGAAATTTTTTGTCAGGAATAGTACTAATTAAAATACAGTCGTAGTGGCTGATAACAATATTAACGATACTTGTTACTCCGTGGTGCGTTTTGTACAGAAACTTGGTTGGTGGAAAAGGACTGATTAATTTAAAATCATTATGTCGGAGACGGTAAGAATAACGTTTCATTAAACAATTTTTTTGTCTCGAATATTATTTCTTTTGCTTCGAAATTGAGGTTATGTGCATTTAACCCTAATTTTGCAGCAGTAATTAAAGTCGCAGGGGAAAGTTAGTAACAGAAAAACGTGATTTGTCTGTCACCATCACGGTGGTAGTCACCAAAATGTCACTTATGTCAAGCATACAACAGTATGTCAAGTGACTCAAGTGAATTTACATTCTCTTGTGTATATGTCACTTGTGACATTCTGTTGTGACACTGCAGAGGTTAAAGTGGCTTAAAGCTTGAAAAAATTGATAGACTATTGTTGCAAATCTACTTTGTCACTAAGTTTTTCTGCGGCTTTAATAACCGAAAATAAACCAGTTACTGATGAGTGATGATAGTTTAGGTGGTACTAAAAATTTTGTCAATTACCTTTATTTTTTACTTCAAGCATATGGGTGCCCTAAACTATGCAATATATACAAATTTAAACACTCAACGCAACCTTATCAACAGCGTTTTGAATGCTGTTTAAGTTTTTAAAGTGCGATTAAAGTTCTTCAAAAATAATATTTATTTGCAAGGTGTTATTTTTGTGCTGTTTATGTTTTCATATAACTATGTATACTCATAATAATACATAAAAGAAAACAATTGGCAACTGGAACGAAAACATTTTGATCACTGTTTAATGATCATACTACAGCTTTAGTACTAACATTTATTTAATTGGGAGAAATGTACGCAAATGAAGCAGAAGTACTGATACTGAATTGAATAGCTGAATAGAGTTAGGCGAAGATAAGTTACTGACTCTAACCCTCATAAGCGTGCTGCCGAAGCAAAGGTGCAGTATCACTATTAATCATTTACAAAATTTTCAACAAAAACCCGGATCTTCATGTATTACAATACATTGAACTCGACCGATTTAGATGCTAACTATCCCTATAGAAAACACTTTAAACAATATTTTGATTATCTATCTGTTAGTAGTGTCGATGTGGCATTATTAGGCACAATTAACGCTAAATCAAAATAGTTTGAGTGTTTAAATTTTATTTTGTGCGTTTATTTTAGAACTGGAACAATAAGTTATTTAACGCAGCAAGAAATGGAGAATTTCATGAGATTGAAAAGTGCATAGAGAATGGGGCAAATTTAAACAATTTTGATGGAAGCGGTGACACAGTATTGTCGAATGCTGTTTACTATGGCCACTTTAACATTGTTCAATACTTGGTGCTTTTGGGTGCGGACCTAAACAAAACCGGTTTATCGAGGCGGAAAACACCCCTGTCATGGGCACTAGAAAATGGTTATGTGGACATTGCTAAATATTTAGCACATAAAGGTGCCCAGTTAACAATTCCTGATCATAATCCACTTATATGTGCTGTAATAACTGGGCAAACAAAAGCGGTCCAATACTTACTACAGTCGAAAGTAGAGATTAACCAGTGTAAAGAATCGGGTTTGACAGCACTCAGTTGGGCAGCCCTGTTAGGATATTTAGACATAGTGAAACTATTGGTAGAGGCAGAAGCTGCTATTAATTATGTTAACGAAAAAAACAAAACAACTCTAACCTACGCTTTAGAGGCAGATAATTTAGATATTGTAGAATATTTAATCGCAAAAGGTTGTCAGGTACCCTGGCCAGAGAAAAGTGAAGAATCACGAAGAATTAAAACACTGTTCAGTTCATTAAATATTATACATCAGATAATTAGTCACGACTTGAATCCTAATGATTCTAATAGTCCAACAGCAATATGCTTATCAAATGCTATTAAACGTGAAGATTTTGCAACTCTTAAATATCTTAGTGGAAAAGGTGTGAATGTTGGGACCGCACCGCTGTCAGAAGCAGCGCGTAGTGGAAATCTTGAAATCACAGAATACTTACTATCCAAAGGGTGTAACGTTAATAAAATCGACTCCAAAGGGAACACTCCTCTAACAAACGCAATCAAATCTAAAAATATAAATATAGTCAGAGCCATGATACAAGTAAATATGGTATGGACATACGCAGGTTTGCTGACGTCACCTGGCTGTATTCAGGCGGGAAATTGAAATATTTACCGAGCCCAACTAAAGTCACTAGATCTACTTTTAGAAAGTACGGCAAACTGCCTGTGGTCGGAATTCGACAGAGAGGAACCTAACCTATGTGTTAAACAAAGATAGCGCGAGGCTAGTAATTTTCGCTATCTGTCAACGAAAGGTTGATGTGTTTACGATTTGAGGTTACGACAGACTGTACTAGAATTATTGAGTTAACGGACCGGAAAGAACACTATTCCAGTCCCAAAGTAACTCCAGCCCTATTCAACGAGAAAGTGTCACCGGTAACCAGCAAACAGTCGTGGAAGACGTGTTACCACCAAGGCAATTGACGGCCAAATGACAGTAACAGGATCGCCATACTGGAAGCAAAAAATACCTGCTGTCGAAAAGACGGAGCATAACAAGGACACAGATATTTTCTTATTATTTGCTATCATCCCCGCTATTTTTTTAACAACGCTAGGTCGCTAGCAAACCACCAATTTGTTTTTACGCATCAGTTTGGTAACAATAAACAATAACCCTCATAACCACAAAAACTCATAACTGCCTCATAACCCTTAAAATTGATATTTGACATCAGATGTCAACACAGAAGTGGAAGGTCATTCATTCCACATGACGTCAGATAACGTTGCGCAGAAGAAGACGAATTTTGGTTCATGGGATGTCCATACCATATTTACTTGTATCATGGTCAGAGCTCTCATAAACGCGGGTTCAGATGTTTGTAAGGTGGGACAGACCGGTAGAACGCCGCTGTCAATGGCTGTGGAATTGCAAAACTTGGATGTGGTTAAATTGTTAGTGGATAAAGGCGCCTCTCCAACAGTTCAAACTGTATTTATCGAGGCTATTCAATCAGGAAATATACAAATTGTTAAACACCTACAAGAGAAGGGGGCTTCAATCAACTTTGTCTATGAAGATGGATGCACACCTTTAACCAAAGCTATACAAACAGGCCATGTAAAAATCGCTGAATTTTTATATGGGCAAGGTGCTAATCCAGAAGTGATTACTAATGACGTGACAAATTTGCATTTAATGAACTATGCCACAAATGGTAACATTGATATGGTGAATTTTCTGGTTGAGTTAGGTGTTAAGTTAGATGTAGTAGGCGCAGATGGTTCCACGCCTCTTACTAAAGCGGTACAGATTGAGAATTTTCAGTTGGTTAAATATTTTATAGAAAAAGGAGCCAATGTTAATGGCGTCGACGGCAACAATAAGATTCCTTTGGGTATAGCTGCGGAAAATTGTTATTTCTCTATTGTGAAGTTTTTGATAGAATTTGGAGCAGATATAGAACTTGCCAAAACAGAATTAACGGCATACTGCAGTTGGAATAAGGACCTTGCTATTTACCTAAAATTGATGAACAAAGAAATTTCCAAGACTGTAACTGGTACGTATGTTTCGTTAAGGGACTTTGTTGACACATTGATTGAGATAGTTTTAGGATCTGGTCACGATGGAAGTGATTTGTTAGAAACCAAAGTGGAAGAAAAATGAAAAAAATGTAAACTAATATAGTGTACTTGTATTAATATTTCGAAATAATAATTTTAAAGATGTATCATTTTTAGTTTTATCACCGTACAGATAGTTATGAAGTCATTCCATTTTTACTTTTGATGCACAATTAATTAATACGTGCGAACTTGAGAAATGTAGTTATTAATTTCAGAACAAACTGTAGGTACATTTGTGATGTGAATTTGTAATTTTGTTTTTAAAAGACTTATTTCGTAGTTTTACCCTCCTCCATAGAGGAAGCACTTTTTTGACAAAATTAATAATCCTCCATATTTTTTGCAGTTTAATTCAACGTCGCTTTTCCACCTTATGATTACATAATATACTTAATATAATTAAAGAATTATTTCAATAAAACAAAAAAAGTTGCATATCAAATATACATACATGCAAACCTTTAACTAAAGATCTTAAAACCGAAAATTTTAAACTCATTAGTATTTGGTAGAAAAAAGTGCCACCACAATGTTATTTAAAAGAGTTTCACGTGCGTCCACACAAAGTTACCACTGGTAATGTTTAGGACGAAGACAAGGAAGTGCCCAGCTAGCTCGTGTGATTTGACCCCTCTTTAGATTTTTTCTTGTGTGGTTATTTGAAACAACTGGTATGCAACCCGTAATGTTAATAATAAATATTTCTAGAAATTAAATAATGTGTGGCCTAGTGCAGTTTGTGATTTTTTGAGTGTTTAAATTCAGACCCGAACCCTTTAGAGCATAAATTCATAACGTACACCAAAAAAGGAAAGCGTGTGCTATTACTGTTATTATAAATATTAATAACATAGTGATAAATGTTACATGCTAGCAAAAATAATTTCTCTCCATGGGTATACAACCAGAAGTACTCGTAGGTATTGCGGCCACGCTTAGCTTACACGACTAAAATTAGCAACAAAAATAATTCTTGTTTTATTATCATTAATTAGATTACTACCAAGTATTATAGATTTTCTCTTTCTAAGTTTACTGAAGTTTCAATGTTATTTGCATGGGTAGTATTCACTTTTGAAACAAAAATTCCCATTTCATTGGTATGAATACCGGTATTATACCCAGTTATTTCTTCTTTGCTTTGTAGTCTGCAGCTGTGGTGTGCAGTACTGCTGTGCGTGTTTTAGTAAGGTGCACGTATTTAAAGTAATAATATTTTTGTGTCTTCACCTTGAACTTCTAGTATACTTTTGTATAAAGTATTGTCACCACAATGGAGCAAGATGTAAGTAGGTAATTGGTTTATCCATTTTAATATGAAGCCCTTGAAAAAAAAAGTTAAATGAGGTTAGGTTTTAATAACATCTATCTTGCATATCAAAAAAAAAAAATGACGTCCCAAGTTACGAATTACGCAAAAAGGAATTAGAGAAATTCAGCATTAAAAAAGGAAGAAAGTGTGGGTATTAAAAACCTACTTAAAAATTAAAAATACAAACTGTTGCACTTTTTATTGTACAAATAAATTTCAAAGTTGGGAGCTTTTTCATAGCGATTTATCGTTAATCAAGCTATTTTAAAACCCAATTTTATAAAGAAAATAAAAAATAAAACATCCTCACTGTAGAAGTGGGACTTCGCGAAACAAATGACAACCAACTTCAAATTAATAAATTTGACGAAAAATATGAAACCGTCTTGTTAAATACCATATGATCGAGAAAAAACTCGTCTAACAAACCTTGAAATTTAATGTTAAAAAAGTTTGACAACACCTACACGTCTCTTGTTCAGTTTAACCCTTACGGTAAAATAGCTGTGAAATAAAGTGTCAAATAGCTACAGAAATTGATTTACCCCTAGGTAACAAAATTTCATTACTATGTTGTGACAAAATCCCAAACATCCTACCTTAGATTGACATGTTAAAAAAAGCCCGCGAAAAATTAAAAAATTTGGCCTTGGCTGTGATCGTCTGACAAAATGGAACCCTACGTTGTGTTTTTGAAAAATGGCGGCATGTGTTTCATTTTGCGGTACTTTTCCAACGCATTCCGCCAAGGCCAAATTTTGAGTGTTTGAATTGTCGCGGCTTTTCATTTTTTTTTCCACGTGTCAATTTAAGGCGGGATGTTTTTCCTAATTTAGAATTTCCTGCGCCCCTGAAAACTCTCTGACTGACTGCCAAACGCGATTTCGCAGCATTGTTCTTAATTTCTTTGCGCGAAATTTAAATTTAAACGTCCTGAATCAATGCAAATATTTGACTATCACAAATTTAATAAAACAAAGCAAAATTTGAAGCAAAGTAACTGGATGCAAATACACAAGTTATTACAGACCTGTGGCGGGAAACTTAAAATTATGGCAGTCAACAAGAACACAAAATTTTAATAAAAGACTATGCAGCGGCAGCGACATCAGAGCGCTAAAAGACTGTGGCGATCGAACTATGTCAATTTCACTCTCGAGCACAACAAAAATATCCATGAGGGGCGTTGTAGCACGAGCAGAGTTTGGGGCTCCTGGTCGTGGCTGTTCTCCTACCCACGAAACTCCTAACATGAACCGTGAATTTACAAACAATGAATGAAATTTACACAACGTGTTAGCGTCGGTCGAAAATTCGCATTTTTCCGATTAGAAAACCGCAAGAATTAGCTACGTGTGTTGGGGAAACTGTAGCGTTAGCGTCGTTACGATTAATTGTCGTTAAACAAACACTTAACCTAGCTTCCTTACCGCATGCTGCTCTCACAACAAACACAACAAAAGTGACGCCTTTCACCTCCCTCAACAAAGCGGCCATCTTTTTTTTCTACAAACCAACCCTCTAACTATCCACTACCAAGCAGAACTACCAACTACCTAAAAAGCGCTAACGTGCACATGGTTGCCTATGTTTAACGATTATTCTTGCTTAATTTTTTTTTAATTTAAATTATTCAAATGCGATTTCGCGCCGCTGTTAATGTTTTTCAGCGCAAGCTTTTGATTCAAATTCGGTTACCACAATGTTATAAAACTTTATGCACATTTAAAGCGAAAATGCCACTTTACACGGGTCATGTTCATTCCTAGTTTTGATGACATCGTACAAAAAAAACAAAACTAGTTCATACAAAATTGGTTGAAAGCTGCTTAGGCAGAACTTGAAGGATAATCCATTAAGCAGATCCAATTTCTTAAACAGTTTATGAAATTTAATTTTTAATTTAAACCTATATTAAACCACAAATAACTATGCGTGTCACACCATGAATTTCAAGCTAAGAAAATTTTGATGAAGTTGTTGGAAGGAATGAACAGGCCAACTGATCAATTGAAAAATCACTCAGAGTAGGCGTTGGAATATCATTTGACACAAACGGCATGTCTGTTCTTATAACATAGAGCATATAACATATAACAGGTTATGGTTCTGCCAAATGGATGCTATAAGAACAGACATGCTATTTGTGTCAAATGAAATTCCAACGCCTTCTCTAAATGATTTTTCAATTGAACACCCATTACAATGTTCGGGGTAAAACCGTAAAGCTTGTACAAATTATTCACAATTATCACTTAAATAATTACAACTTATTGGGAGAGCGCGGTTATGACGGGCTTAAATGAATTTCACGGCGGCGGCGTCTGAACTAAGCTACACATATGACGGATGTCTCTGAACTTTACAGTCGGAACCTCTGAACTGAAAAATGAATTATTCCGGTGTCTTTTATAAAGAGGATATTGATGCAAGTGTGGGAGAGCATCTTGCGCGTGGCAGGATATGGGTCCACAGAACGATTGTCCATTGTGGACTTATGCTGATATCGTAACAAGGGGTTGTATCAAATAAAAGAAACAAGTGGTATAGTAGCATATTATTTTGCACACTTTTAAGTTGGTAACAATAATTTGAGATGGCGTCATCGATATTTTGGCGGGGATGATCAGAGAAATTTTAATTTTCGTTTTACCATCTACCTGATATTCTTAAAATACATTTAAAATTTCACGACAATCTGTACAATTTATGAAACGAAACTGTAATAAAAATATTTAACAAATTTAAACCTGATGCCTGTATTCGTGATGTCATCTGATTTTTCTTGTCTTAGGACTGGAACGAACAATTATTCAAAGGTATTAACGGAAGAAATAACGCTCTTGTTAGGAAAGCTTTAAATAAACCCAGCGTTAACCCTAATAAAATTAACGTTGACGGATTCACACCTTTGTGTTTAGCAGCAAAATTAGGACATGTGAGGATCGCAGAAGACATTGTTCAGAAAGGTGGCGATGTTTGCTTACGTGGGAAAACTCAGAAAACTCCTTTGTCATGGGCGTGTTCGTTTGGTCATTTAGACGTCATTAAATATTTACTAGAAAATGGGGCCGAGGTGAATGACGTTGACTTGGACGGAACGTCACCATTAGCATGTGCTGCATTTAAAGGATATGATGACATTATTCAGCTTCTTCTAAAAAACGGTGCAGATATTAATAAAGTTGAAAACAAAGGTCACTCGCCTTTGACTAAAGCGTTTCTTAATGAAGATTTGAATACCACAAAGTTCTTGGTATCTAATGGCGCCGATATAAATCGCGCAGATCCAGCTGGTTTCACTCCGTTAGAATACGCAGTTTTTTGGAAAAAATTTAAAATTGTCGAGTATCTTCTCCAAGAAGGAGCTAATGTTAACAAACCAGAACCGACGAATAGCTTTCCTTTGGGGCTAGCAGTAAAAACAGGTACTTTATGTGGTGCTAAAATGCTGATTCATAAAGGAGCGACGTTAAATGCACGAAACAAATGTGGATACAGCGCAGTGGAGGAGGCAATATCTACCGGAATATTCGAATTAGTAAAATATTTAGTGGAACAAGGCTCTGATATTACCGGTAGTGAGCAACATGATTTACTACCTTTAACGTTAGCAGCCCAGAAGGGTGATTTGGAAATAGTAAAATATTTGGTCCTTAAAGGAAGTGATATTAATCAGATAAGCTCAACCGGAAATAATGCTCTGGCGTTTGCTGCAACTGAAGGTCATTTGGATATAGTAGACTATCTTCTAGAAAAAGGCGCCGCTGTGAATCATAACTCGAGACCAGATGCGCTACTACCATTGGCGTGTGCTTGCCAAGAGGGCCATTTAGATGTCGCCAAGCGTTTACTAGCTGCCGGAGCTAGTGTCAATCAACCTGATTCCGATGGAAATACCCCATTAACGAATGCTGTTTTTTCAAACAGTATAGAACTCCTTCAATTCCTCGTCGCTGAAGATGCAGATCCTTGTAAATCCGTCGGTACAGGACAGACTCCTTTAGTCGCAGCAGTGAAAAAGGGAAATTTGCCTACTGTACAGTACCTTCTAGAAAATGGAGCGAAGCCAACCATTCAAACAGCTTTCTTAACGGCGATATCTACGGAGAATTTAGAACTCGTTACTTTCTTGAAAGACCAGGGAGCCCTAGTTAATTTCACATATCCAGATGGATGCTCCCCTTTATCTACAAGCATTGAGTTGGGACAAATAGAAATAGCGAATTACTTAGTCGATAATGGTGCAGATGTTCAAGTAATTTTACAGAATGAAAATACGTCACGCATAATAGCAGCTATAGATGAAGAAGATTTGGATCTGATTAAGTTCTTTGTGGAAATCGGTGTAAACGTAGACGCAACTGGTAAAAGCGGATGTACACCTTTAACTAAAGCTGTTGAAGATGAAAATTTTAGTATAGTTAAGTATTTGGTGGAAGAAGGAGCTTGTGTTAATCTTGAAGACGACAACAAAAGAGTGCCTTTAGCAATAGCTACTTCTAATTCTTATTTTCGTATAGCAACGTACTTGATTGACAATGGAGCGGACGTTAATCTTGCGAAAGAAGAAATTGGACAGTACGTGGAGAATAATGTAGATTTTAATATTTTTATGAGGAAGTTTCCGCAAACTACTCCGACCAAATTTATAGGTACTTCTTTCTTACTAAGTATGCTGCAGTCTTGTTTACTGTTGATTTTTCAGGTACCGGTCATGAAGAAACACCAGCTTGACAGTTGTTTTACCTGAAAGTACGTTTAGTTTTTATTTCTTTTACACAATCGTTCTGTAGACAAATAAAGTACATGCTTTAATTTATCTTATTTGCACTCGATGTAGTTGTGTAGGTTTACCACATATTGTGATAAGGTGAAAAAACAAACAATGTTAAACCCACGTTTTCCCAGAAGACTAGACTTGACCCCATACACCAGTCATAATTAACAGGATATAATTTTTTATGACTAAATGAAGCCAAAACTAATATTTTTTAGAATTTATCACACATCAACTCTTAAGTAACATATAATTCTAATCAAATTGATTTTGTCGTACTTAGTAATATTGTTCGGTTGTACAATTAATTTATTAGCACAGATTACGGATACCAGATGGTTTACTTGTGGGCGTAACTGTCCGCAAATTTTCCGTGCGCATGACACTAAAATTGGTTCAGCACTTTTAAATCTCTTTGAAACTGGTTCGACAGATTAACACGCAAAATAATATTTACAATGAAGCAGATATAAGAATAAAAGTTTAGGTAATAATTCAGGGAATAAATAACATTACAAGGATTAATTTCTACGTTTTTTGGTTACGAAGGGATTTTTTAAAAGTTTTAAAATAATCAGAAAATTAGTTAAATAAATACCTACCTGCATTAAACTGTATTATAGTATCGTTTAGTAAATATATCTTGTCTATAATGCCTGACTTTGTAAATGAATATGAGAATAAAACATTTTCCTTTATTTTCCTTTAAACTCGTTTCAGTCTTAAATAACCACCAAAAATCGAAGATCATTATAAAGACGAGTAGATTAGAAAACTGTAACAACAAAATTCAGAAAGGCAAGCGCAGCAAATTTCATTAACTATGCCCTTCAATTCTTCTAACTTTCGGTAACCCTTTAAGCCGTATAGTTAAAGAGTTACCGAAAGAAGAGTTTATTCACCATGCAAAAATTTTAACACCACTTTCTTGTTAGCACTATATTCGAGAATACGTGTTTTTTACGCTCTAAAATTTTTTAATGCCGATGCATGTGTCCGCAATTCTTTTTAGAGGAAATTGTGAAATGTTAAGCATTTGTAATAATCATAAATCATTTTGTGTAAGGCAAATAAGTATTTTGTTCGTTTTTTCTTCACTTAGAACCTCATCCCTTGCATCATCGCTGTAATTTTTCTCTGACCGCCGTGCTTTTAAATTCAAAGCTTGCGAACCAATTTTGGTAGAGCGTGCGTAGTAGCGTGAATACCGCTTGAAATCTCGGGACACCGACTTCAAAGTGCCGACAGCTGAGTGAACTATCTGGTATCCGTAATCTGTGTTATTAGTGTCGTCATTCTGCAACCAGTAATACACGGAAGTACCAAACCACAATGCGCTAAGCAATTTTAGGTTTAGATTTTTTTAAATATTATTGATTTGGGTAACGCATTAATAATATGTACAGCCTTAGTTAACAATCGCATTGATTGATCACCCCATCAACGATGGTTTTTTTCTGAATGTGTATTATTATTTAGTTGAGTATATTCTATCGTTCAATGCCTTCACATCGTTCAGTGCATTCACATCGTTCACTTGGCAACTTGAAAACGATTGGATAATATATTGATAACTGTTAACACCACGTGTTAACTGTCAAATCATTATGTCCCAAACGGTAAGAATTTTTTTTTTAATTTGTGGCCCGCCAATATTATGTTTGCTGCGAAATTAAGGTTATGTGGACTTAACCTTAATTTTCTAGCAATAAGTATTTATTACCCGAAAAGTAACGAACAAATTATACTTTACTAATACCGTAAATTGTACTTAATCCACAGCTATTTTTCACATTATCCATACAAGTGTCCCAAAGTTTAACATTTAATTGTATATAATTGGATGCAAAACACAACGTATGCTCAACATTAAGAAAAATTTTATATTTTTGACTCTCCCAGAAACTTTATGATGTTTTAAAAAAAAACAAATAACTGAGTTGCAACTATGTTTATGGCCTATAATAATGAATAAAATAAAACAGTTAGCAATTGGTACTAAAGCATTATGTTTATGCATAGTTGAATTTTTTTATTTACCACACTACATTTCCATTACTAAACACTTATTTAATGGGAGACATGTATGCAAATGAAGTAGAAGTAGTGATACTAAGCTATCGATCGATCATAAACCTTCGGGATAATTTGAAATAATTTTTAAGTCATTTATCAATCAAAATAGTTTCAGTATTTAAATTTTATATTAGTGCGTTTATTTTAGAGCTGGAACAAAAAGTTACTTAACGCAGTAGAAAACGGGGAATTACATGAAATTGAAAAGTGTATAGAAAATGGGGCAGATTTAAACCATCTTGATGGAAGCGGTGACACACTATTGTCGAATGCTGCTTACTATGGCCCGCTTAACATTGTCCAGTACTTCGTCCTTTTGGGTGCGGACCTAAACAAGATAACTATATCAAACCGGAAAACACCCTTATCATGGGCATTGCATCACGGTCACGTAGACATTGCTACATATTTAGCACATAGAGGTGCCCAGTTAACAATTCTTGATCATAATCCACTTATATGTGCTGTAATAACTGGGCAAACAGAAGCTGTCCAATACTTACTACAGTCGAAAGTAGAGATTAACAACTCTAAAGAATCGGGTTTAACAGCACTCAACTGGGCTGCTCTGTTAGGATATTTAGACATAGTGAAACTATTGGTAGAAGCAGGAGCTGATATTAATTATGTTAACAAGAAAAATAAAACATCTATAACCTACGCTTTAGAGGCAGATAATTTAGATGTTGTAGAATATTTAATCGCAAAAGGTTGTCAAGTACCCTGGCCCGAGGAAAGTGAAGAATCACGAAGAATTAAAACGCTACTCAGTTCATTAAATATTATACATCAGTTAATTAGCCTCGACTCGGATCTTGATGACTCAAATAGTCCAACAGCAAGATGCTTATCAAGCGCTATTAAAAGTGAAGACTTTGCTACCCTAAAATATCTTAGTGGAAAAGGTGTGAATGTTAGTAAAGCATCCTTGTTAGAGGCAGTACGTACTGGAAATCTTGAAATCACAGAATTCTTACTATCCAAAGGGTGTAAAGTTAATCAAATCGATTCCGATGGTAACACTCCTCTAACAAACGCAGTCAAGTCTAAAAATATTAACATGGTCAGAGTTCTCGTAAACGCAGGTTCGGATGTTTGTAAAGTTGGGCAGAGCGGTAGAACGCCGCTGTCAGTGGCTGCGGAATTGCAGAACTTGGATTTAGTTAAATTGTTGCTAGATAAGGGCGCATCTCCTACAATTCAGACTGTATTTATTGAGGCTATTCAAGCCGGAAATAGACAAATCGTTGAATACCTACAACAGAAAGGGGCTTCGGTCAACTTTATGTATGAAGATGGAGGCACACCTTTAACCAAAGCAATACAAACAGGCCATTTAAAAATTGCTGAATTTTTATATGAGGAAGGTGCTAACCCGGAAGTGATTATTAATGACGTAACAAATTTGCATTTAATGAACTATGTCACAAATGGTAACATTGATATGGTGAATTTTTTGGTTGAGTTAGGTGTTAAATTAGAAGTAGTAGGCGCAGATGGTTCCACGCCTCTTACTAAAGCGATAAAGATTGAGAATTTTCAGTTGGTTAAATATTTTATAGAAAAAGGAGCCAATGTTAATGGCGTCGACGGCAACAATAAGACTCCTTTGGCTGTAGCTGCGGAAAATTGTTATTTCTCTATTGTGAAGTTTTTGATAGAATTTGGAGCAAATATAGAACTTGCCAAATCAGAATTAACGGCATATTGTAGTTGGAATAAGGACCTTGCTATTTACCTAAAAGTGATGAACAAAGAAATTTCCAACACTGTAAATGGTACGTATGTTTCGTTAAGGGACTTTGTTGACACATTGGTTGTGATAGTTTTAGGATCTGGTCACGATGGAAGTGATTTGTTAGAAACCAAAGTGGAAGAAGAAAAATGAAAACAGGCGCTGTCGATAAACTAGCACATTGTGTACCATTTATTCTGCCTCGGAATAAAAAAATTTAAATCGCTTTCAGTTTGATGAATGCTTAATTTAATGTGTCGCATTAATTTCACAACAAACCGTACATTTGTAATATAAATTTATATTCTTGTTTTAAAAGGACGAGAAAGTTTTGTAGCTGAGAAAATACACTTCCTCAGACGTCAGTTATTTCGTACCTTTTCCTTCCTCCATAGTGCTAGGAACCTTTTTTTTTTGACAACCTTTTGATAACATTAATAAAGATGTTAATCATAGACTTTTTATATACGAGTGTTTTGAAATACATAAAAGTTTTTCGAGATAAAAATCATTAAAATTTTAGTAATGTTTTTTTACTTTGATTTAAATGTCATTGTCAATGTCCATTTTAAGTATTTTTCTTGCACTCTCTCTATTTTTTCATATTCCCTCCATCCCCAAATCTTAGCTCCGTACATAAATACACTTTTGATCAAACTATCAAACATCATCATTCTTCTCTTATAATCAAGTCCAAATTTTCTCTCTCCTATTCCCCATACTATTCCTATCACTTTGTTCGCTTTTCGGACCATTTCTTGAATATGCCCTCTATATGAGTTATTGCTCTTTAATGTATAGTCTAAGTACTGGAATTCTTTCACCTGTTCAATCTTCTTCCCATTCCACCCCCACGCTTCCTTCTCATTTCTTACTTTCTTCACAAACACCACCATTTTTGTTTTTTCCACATTCACTTCCAATTCCTTTTTTTGTACGTACTTCTCGAAACTTTTAATCATTGTTTTCGTTTATTCTCTTTTCTTTGCCTCAATCACCAAATCATCTGCGTACGCCAACGACCACACTTTCTCTTAGCCCACTACCACCCCTCCTGTCTGTGCTTTTCTGTACTCTATATTATCTATATCTCCTAGATAAGCTGCAAACAATGGCATCTCTGTCTCACTCCTCTATTTGTATAAAAACTCTCGCTCTATATTCCATTCACTCCCACCTTACTCTTTGTTCATATAGATATTTCTTCCATTTTCGTTACCAGGTACGCATCTACTCCCTTTCTCCTCAAAAATTCCCACATTTTCTCTCTATTCACGCTGTCAAACGCTGCTTTTAAATCTATGAACAATGCGTACATTCGTCCACCCTCTTTCCTCATTTCTCTTCCCACTAAATGCCCCAGGATGTACACATTGTCCAGAGTACCTCTTCCTTTCCTAAACCCTGCCTGACCGTCTGGTAACATACCCCTTGCTTCCATCTCCTTTCGTAACCTTTCATCCAGTATTATTGGGTATATCTTGTACGCCGTATTGAGCAAGGTAATCCCTCGGTAGTTCTTCACATCACTTTTTTGCCCCTTTTTAAATAATGGGATTATTATACCTTCTCTCCACTACCGGGGAAACCCTTTTCCCTTCCAAACTCCATCTACCACTTCCCATATCCTTTCTTTCAGTCCTTCTGTCCCGAACATCCACGCTTCGTTCTGGATTCCACCCCCTCCTGGTGCCTTTCCACTTTTCAGGCTTTCAATCTGTCTTCCTATTTCATCTTCTGTTATTTCCGAACCTCCCCACATTTCTTCCGTCGTTGTGCTTCCTTTATTTATTTTGCAGCATTTTTCCTCGCAACCTCCCAATGATTCCATAAAGTGTCTGTTCCATTCCTGTATTTTGATTTTCCTACTGACTGCAGTCTTCCTTCTCCGTTCCTTGTTTATATATCTCCATAGTTCTTCTTCTGTTTTCAGGGAGTTTATTGTCTTCTTTTCTTCTTCCCGTTTTTTCTTCACATTTTCTCCTATAATTCTCTCTTGTTTTTAAGTACTCTTCTTTCCTTCCCCTGTTATTCTTCCATTTTCTTCATTTTTCCCTTGCTTTTCTCTTCATCTCACTACATTCTCCGTTCCATCCATTATTCATTCCTCCCTTGTCATATGTATATCTTTCTTTTTTCCGTAGCTTCCTCAATTAAGTTGATCAGTTCTGCTATCATAGCTTCGATATCTTCTTTTACTTCGAATTTCTTTTTTTCTAATCTACTTCTGCATCTTTGAATTCCCTCTTCATCTCATATTCTTTTTTCTATTTATTTTCTTCCGTTTCTTCTCTCTTGTTTTTTGTACTCTCGCACTTTTTCTTTGATTTTTATTTCTAGTGGCATGTGGTCTGATTCTACCCTTCCCCCCGCTTTGAAACTCTCTATTTCTTCCCACGCCTCTTCGTTGACAATCCCATAGTCTACAATTGATTTTCCCCTAGCCCCTACGTACATCCATTCTCCTTCTTTATCCCCTTCCTTTTTTCCATTCAAAATTTCCCATCCCATTTCTTCTATTGTCTCCCACAATATTTCCCTTCTTTGTTTTGCTTTGTCTTTTGATACTCTTTTCTCTCCCTTTTCTTTATCTATTATTCTTGTTCCCTTATCGCCCAGTGTTGCGTTAAAATCCCCTCCTAGAACTAAGTATTTTTTCATCTCCTTTTTCGTTTGTTTCCTTTTCAATGTTTATCTTGGTTTCCTCCATTTTCTTGCTATAAACGATTATTATTTCCCATCGATTATTATCCAGCTGTATTAGGTACTTCATTAGTCCGTTTTTATTATTACTTCCCTTTTCCAATTCTTGCATTTCTTTTCGAATTCCCAATACTATTCCCCCGCTTGCTCTCCCCTTTTTTTTTCCTGTGTCGCCCCTTGACCCTCCCACACATATTCTTGTGGTAGTGTCTCTTCAAATTTCTCCCATGTCTCTACTAGCCCCACCGCATCGAATTTTCCCACGTAGTCCCAGAACTCCTTTTCCTTTTTTCGCAACCCTTGGACATTCCAAAACAGTACCTTCACCCCTTTTTCTCCTAATTTTGTAGACAAACGTTTCATAACATTAATGAAGATTTTAATCATAGACTGTTTATATACGGGGTGTTTTTGCAATACATACCTGTACAAAAAAACTGGGCAACTGATCTTGATGAATATGCTCCAAAAATAACAAAAAAGTTAAAAAAAATCTCGTTTTCGAGATAAAAGTCATTGAAATTTTACTCAATTTTTTTAACTTTGTATTATTAACTGTGTGCCCAAGATAACGTATCAGAATTGTCAGAGGAGTTGGAAATTGACGCAAGGCTTCAAATGTGGTTTCAACAAGATAGAGGCCAACCCTATTTTCATCGCATTGTGCGTAACTATCTTAACGATAGGTTTGAAGATTGGTAGAGACGCAGAACATCTATGTCTCCCTTCTAGCCCTAACGTGACACTATATTTTCTGAGGATTGTGAAGGTAAAAGTTTATGAGATCCTTATCGAAAATTTGAATGACATGAAAAACCGACTAAGGCATGCATGTGACACACCCGATATTTTGAAACGTGTTCGGAAATCTTTCCTGAACCTATAGATGATCGTTTTCCAGGTTGGAACCGTGTTAATTGAGTTTTTGGACTCAACGTTCTTTTTTTTTTCGAGTTTCGCCTCTGGTATGGTTGACATACTGAGTTACCGTGCTCTTTTGCCTTATTCTTGACCCTGCTCCTGAAGATGCCACTTACGAAAGTGTGCGAAACGTTGAGCCCAAAAACTCAATTAACACGGTTCCAACCCGGAAAATGATCATGTATTGATTCCGACCGTGGAAGCCTCAGAAATTACTTTCCTGAACCGCCCAAAAGCCTATGGTGGTACACATTTTGAGCATTTATTTATTGTTTATATGCTTGGAAGTTTAAGTTCTTACATTTTAAATGACAGTTTGAACTCTATCTTTGACACATTTGACGTTTGTCAAAATTAGATAACTCTATTAGAATGAGTTACAAAATACGATAAAAGACAAGAGAAAAAAATTAACGAACGTCTCTAAATACTAATTAAAGAAAAATAAAATTGTGATAAAACGGACCACAGTGTATATCTACTGCTTTGTATGTTTTTGTAGTGAAATACGCGTTTTACATGTTTGACGGCACACTGAAATTTTAAAAGTACGTCATAACACAGCATTCTCCTTCCACCTATGTAGTAAAGTATTGTACGGGGTTTGTTTGAAGTCATTAAGTTCACAGGTAAGTAATAAAATTTTAGTGGGTCCAAATAGTATATTATATTATTATCCATTCACGAACTTTATATAGTAAAGTAGGCTTTGATATTTTTTCTTTAAGTTGGATAAACTGATTTGATGATTTGGTTTTTTGTCTGTCGGTAGTCTGATTGACATTTGATTTGAGCTGGATTGCCACTTTTCTACTTCATTTGTTAGATCAGAATTATTAGACGCAATTTTTTTATCAAGCAAACAGATGTTTTAATTTTGTCCGCATAGATAATTTGTCATTGTAACAGATTCACAGATCATTGCGACATTATTTAAAAAGAAAATGCCTAAAATAGTTTTACTGCAACAAAAAATTGCAATTCTTTCGAAGAAGTAACTATGAGGATCTCGAACATATTTTCTGTAATGTAAAAATACGCTGCAAAATATTTTTTAATTTTTTTTCTCATAGGCGGGAACATCAACTGCAGCGAAAATTTTATCAACAATGGACCAAAATTTAAAAACATCACTATCTGGCAAGCGAAAACCAACGGATTTATTTACAAATTATATGTTTCGGAAAGACCTACAACAACAAATTTGGCAACTTAATGAAAAAAAACGAATATTTTTACTGTAGATACTCTTTTGGCATATTCTAGGGGACAGTTGGAATTTAAAGGGGGGCGAACCACATTATACAAAATTCTTAAGTCAATGGGTTATACACACAGGGAAGTAAATGGTCGCAAAATTCTATGTGAGCAAAAACATGTCGTTGCAGCCAAAATTACTTTTTTGAGAACATATTTACAGTTTCTAAATTCTTGTGAAAATTTGACTTTCGTGTATATAGAAGACAAACATCAGAGTGACCAAATGAACACTCCGTTAGTGAAGTTAAACTAGTGTTCAAAGTGCACCTTTACAATTATCCGTCACAAGTAGTTAATGCTATTAAATATAATGTCAAAGACACGTTGTGTTAATTTTTGTTAAAAAAAATCTTAAAATTAAACGATGTTGTTGTTTTGAGTCTTGTCATTTCACTCACTTCCCTAGCCAGGTAAGTAACCCCTGGGGAGGTAAGTGACACTATTTCCTAGGCAACCAGAACACGATTAGTAATTTGAAGTTACCTTCATCAAATATGACTTGGTAAAAGTTACTTACGACACAGATTACTTACGAGAAAGGTCGAGAAATCGTGAGATGCAACCAATAATACAGAAAAGTAGTTTTATAGTACCCACGCAATTAGAATTAGTAATACACGAGTACCTAACCACAGTACTTAACCTTCTGAAAGGGTACAGAGCTTTTTCTAATCACCTACTGTTTATTTTTAAAGATTTTTGAATACAAATGTATAGCCGTGGTGATTTATTTATGTAATGCACAATACGTGATGAATTTTTGTGCAATTATTTTTCATCATTTAGTGAATTCTGGTGAATTGCAGTAATTACCTTTCCCTGATTATTGGTGAATGATTATTCATTTGGCGGAAAAATGATACGTGTATTATTAAAGGAGGTAAGCAGTTTCTTTCGTTGTTTGTTTTAATATTGTGGATCGGAAAATGAGGTTAGGTGGTATCACAGAACTTCAATATGTAATTATGGAATAGTATAATATTTTTGCTGATAATTTTAGTTCCACTGAAAAACAATTTTTGTCAAACACGTGCAGCGTGATGTACTCGCATGATACAGTTTTCAAATACATTTCCTTGCAATAAATAACCACGAATTTAGAAATGTTAATTGAAATCCACTCCTGCAAAAAACCGTAAAGGTGAAACTTGTATGGTCGATAATTTATTCGGTAGGTCACGAAGGAAATATAATGTTATCTATATTATACGTGCTGAGATAAGTGAACCGATGATAAATATTTTGACATAACAAAAACCTATTAATACCATAGATTAATACGATAGGTATAAAATGTCAGATAAAAGTGACACAGTGTAATAGCTAACCATATCTATAAAATTATGTGGAGTACAGATACCATCGAAAGCTACAAAATCATCTTTGACTTTGGGAAAAAAAATGTGTTTCTAAGCTTTTCTGTTGAGCTGTTATTGCTTGATCATTTCAAAGTCTTAGTTGCATTTTGCATCTAACAAAGAGAATATAATGCATGTACACATGACCCCATTTTTTCCAATAGAATTTAGTCATGCCCTTAGTTACATCTTTATCACAGCGATAATAAGTTTATTACCTTATTGTGGTCAACCTAAATTTAAACACTGTCAAATTTGACAAATTTTAGAATTTTTTAATTTTTTTGTCTATTATGTCTTCCTAACGTTGAGGGCAAGCTCAAAACGACGAAATCAATTCTATTATCAAAAAATTTGTTCATTCATTATCATTATATTCTCATGTCGAATATAACTCGTGATATGATTAATAATAATTAATCGCACTCGTTGAATCTGCAGCTCGGTTTCACTCGAAATATTATCGATTATAATATGGTGACCGAATTTAAATAAAAATTTTCGCGCTGAAATTAATTAACAGCGGCGCGAAATCACATTTGAATCATTTGAATTAAAAAAAAATTCAATCACAAAAAGGAAATCGTTAAACATAGGCAACCAAATATGCACGTAGCGCTTAGGGGTAGTTTTGCATGATTATTGAGTTAGATGACGGCTTGGTATTGTTAGGGAGTTTTTAGTTACAGGGTTGGTTGGTTGGTAGAGACAGAAACTGCATGGCGTAGAGGTCATTCTGAATGTGCTTGTGTGAGTGTAACCACGTGGTAAGCGCTAGGTTTAAATTAGTTGGTTTGGTAGTTAATAAAACGGGAGGAAGCCTTTGTTTAACGACAATCAATCGTAACTGACGTCACTCTGTTGTCCCCAACCCGCGCGGTTAATTCTTGCGGCCTTTTTCTTGATAGTCAGTTAGTGCACACAGTTTAACAATCAGGATTATTTAAATAAACCACTTGCTAGAAGATTTCATAAAATTCACTTAGTCAGGAAAACACCTTATTGTTAATTACGAGTAAGTTTCTGGATGCATATACGTAAGTGTTACATTATAACACTTCTAAATTCTTCACACAAGATTGCTAATAGTTCATTTTACGGCAGTTAAACAAGTTCAATATACTGCGAACTGCCGGAGGTTACGATAATTTCTTCCCTTAGGTGATTATCATCGTTATCATGATTAATTCATCGAGGCATGCTTTCACAACGCTACAGATTGATTCATTCATCGAGGCAAGCCCTCACAACGCTACAGATTGATTAATTCATCGACGCTTTTTCCTCGCATCGATTTAAAATTTACATCACTGAGACGCTTTTTCCCTCGGAGCGATGACTGGATATTTTTATGTTTGTTTATTATGTGTTTTGTTGGGGTAACCAGTTTGCGGTATAATCACTTAGATCAAGACATAATTTAACATAATGTAAACTCTTTGTTTGAATCGTTGAATAAAGTGTGGCAAATGTTAATCTCATGTAAATTTTGTTAACTTTGCAAGACCGATGACGCCTTGGCCCTGCGGCACCACCAGAAGGGCACACTGAGTCACTTTCGCTCTTCGTTTCTTTTCCTCCTAAGGAAGGATGCCATTTCGGCCCCTCCCTAATTTTTGCCTACTATTTCTTGCGCTCTCAACTCACACGCAGTGTATGCACGTGTATGAAAGAACGTCTTTCCGCCACTTTTCAAAAAAAAAAAACACAACGTAGGTTCCCATTTGTTAGACGATCACAGCCAAGGCCAAACTTTGAATTTTTGAATTTTTCGCGGGCCTTTCAAACTTTTTCAAGGTCAATTTAAAGGCGGGAAGTTTGGGTTATTACATTAATCATATCACTTGTTATATTATAACTAATAACATAACTACATTATAAAACAATTTTGTATGTAGGTAGTTTGGTCGAGATTGAAAATTGCACGGACCGAGTTTATTGTGTAATAACAATAACTAATTAGTCTAGACTTTTATGTAGATGGTAAATCTAGTTAGATAAGATAGTGGTTACCTAAGAAACGAGGGAGATGGAGGGGAGACAGAATGTGGAAATAAAGAATTTTTGAAAACCTATGAAATTAAATATAAAACATTAATCTTACTTTTATATAGATTGCAAATCAAGTTAGTAGTTAGCTACGAAAACCATCAACTTCAAGCATAAGTTTCCATCCCCCTCTCCCAAAATCAGGCTAATTAAATGAATTTTTTAACTTTCTTTAACTATTTTAACTTTTACTGTCAGAGTTCCTTAATTTATTTTAACTAATCTAATCAGCTAAACACATCACGGAAAATGTTAAGTTCTGTTTAAATATTCTAATAACAAACTTTCGTGAATTAGTACTAACAACGTGCAAACATATTAAAAATTGCAATAAGTAAAAAAATTCACATAGTTTTTTCAACATCTTTTGATGCCAATGATTTTTCCTGAACTTTTCTGTGTTTCTTTTCTCAGGACTGGGATCACCGCTTACGTATAGCTTCGAGAAAAGGTGATCTAGAAGAAGTCAAGCGATGTCTTCAAAACTTTGCCGACATTAACAGTTGTAGTGATTTAGGAAACACTGCGCTGTCATTTGCTGCGTTACCAGGACATGTTAATATTGTTAAATATCTATGTGCGAAAGGAGCGAATATTAATACAATGACAAAACCACAAGGTCGGACTCCTTTATCGTGGGCAGTAAGAGGTCGTTGTTTGGATGTGGTAAAAATATTGCTAGAAATGAAACCATCCATTAACACTGCAGATTGTGACGGTAATACTCCCTTAATAAATGCAATATTGGAAAGCACTACCGACATTGCAAGTATGCTGATAAATGCTGGAGCAGATATTAATGGCTGCAATGCTTCTGAGAAAAGTCCTTTGGCAATTGCTGCTGAAAATAATAGACTAGATATGGTGGAGCTGTTATTAGAAAATAACGCGGACATCTCTAACTTGGGGAAAAAAGAAAAAACCCCACTATCAGCAGCTGCGTTAGGAGGTAATTTAGATATAGTAAAATCTCTTGTTAGCAGAAGAGTTGATATCAATGCAATCAACTCGGATGGGAACACTGCCTTGACGTATGCCGTTGAAGCTGAAAACGATTCTATTGTTGAATTTTTAATTGAACATGACGCTGATCCTTGCAAATGTGGAAAGAATGGCAAAACACCCTTAAGAACTGCTGTAGTGAAACAATCGCTACCACTGATCACCTACCTGTTAGATCATGGAGCAGAATCCACAATTCAAACTGCTTTCCTGGTGGCAATAGAAACTCGAAATTTGGATATTATCCGACTGTTAATACAAAAAGTAGTTGATTTAAACGCAGCATATAACAGTGGACATACACCTTTAATGAAAGCTCTAGAGCTAGGGTATTTCGAAATTGCAGAATTTTTGGTTGAAAATGGTGCCGATTGCCAATCTTATGACAAAAGCAAATTGTGTCTTCTTGACTATGTGAGCGAAAACAATTTAGGGATGATAGAATTTCTAGTGAAATTAGGAGTAAGCTTAGACTTGGTTGGGAGTGGAGGTTATACACCGTTAACTAAAGCCGCAGAAATGGAAAATTTCAAGTTGGTAAAATATCTTGTGGAGAAAGGAGCAAAACTTAACCAACCGGACGAAAATGGTAAGAATGCGTTAAGCATTGCCGCTGTAAAATGTAGTTTCCGGATTGTAAAATACTTGCTTGATGCCGGAGCAGATCCTGACATTGCGAAAACAGAGCTTGATAGTTACGCTAGTTGGAACGACGATGTTAAATTTTGTTTGAAAATGACAAGGAAGGAAGAGGATATTGTAACAGGTAGTATGGACTATATCAAAAACATTGTATTAAAAGTAGATAATTGAAGGTACTGGACACGAAGAAGCAAAATAAACATACCATAATCGCCCATTAATCAATCAGTGGAGGTCCTGGTGGAACAGTTCTATCCCAGCAGACAAGAATAAGTGACATTTGTAAATCTATGGAGAAAACTGTATGGGCCGTTTTAATACCTACTGTTCTGATTTCCTTATAAAACACCATGTAAATATATTTCATGATTTTTCTACCTTATGAATTATTCTTTTCTTCCACCAACCCCTTTGCCCAAATCACCACGTAAATGACAACCCTAGCAATCATTTTCGTCACATAAATTCAGTGTATATACTTCAAGTCATCTTTAAAATCCCGTCCAATTATGCCTCATTATTTATATGACAGTTCTCACATGTCATTAATGCCATTTGTAACCTGTTATTTAGTCATCCTTTTTATTGTTCTAACGTTTTTCAAGTGTGAATTACAGTAATTCTCGTTGATCGAAGCTCAAAACAGACAACACTTGGTGCTTGCGTACGAAAATTTTATTTTTGTGCTAGAAAGCGAAGACCGCGAAAATTCTGTTAAACAAGGCACTTTCATTCTTATATCTTGTTATCGCAAGGGGACATTCATAAACGAAGAGTGGATTTATTCTGTAACCGCTTATAAGCAAAAATATCTAGTTAAATACCGTGATTTGATAAGGGTCTGTCTAATTTGCAGATCACAGTTTATCTTGCAGACTGGGGGTTAAAAATCCTACAATCAAGTCTAAACTCGACATTTGCTTATTTCACAATACGAAGATTGTTGGTACAAAATTTCAACCCGTTCGGAGAAACCCTTAAAAACCACCCCCAAAACAACCTTGCAGACTGGGGCTTAAAAATACTCCAATCAAGTCAAAATTTGATATTCGCTACTTTCTCAATACGAGGATTATCGATACAAAATTTCAGCCTATTCGAAAAAACCCTCAAAAATCACCCCCAAAACAACCTTGCAGACTGGGGATTAAAAATGCTTCAATCAAAGCAAAACTCGACAGTCGCGTATTTCTCCATACAAAGATTGTTGATACAAAATTTCAAGCCGTTCGGAGAAACCCTTAAAAATCACCCCCAAAACAACCTTGCAGACTGGGGGTTAAAAATGCTCCAGTTAAGGCAAAACTCGATATTTCCTAATTTCTCAATACGAAGATTGTTGATAACAAAATTTCAACCCGTTCGGAGAAATCGTTGAAAACTACCCCCAAAACAACCTTGCAGACTGGGGCTTAAAAATACTTCAATCAAGTCAAAACTCGAGATTTGCTTATTTCTTAATACGAAGACTGTTGATGCAAAATTTCAACCCGTTTGGAGAAACCGTTAAAAGCTACCCCCAAAACAACCTTGAAGACTGGGCCTTAAAAATATTATTACCAAATCGAAACTTGGTGTTTAGTTTTTATCTATACAAGAAGTGATAATGCAAAAAACAGCCTTTTTCAAGCTGCTCTTAACAAGTACCCCAAAGCAATTTTTCATACGGGAGCTTAAAAATACTCCAATTGAGTCGAAAGTTACCACTTGCTGAGTTCTTTACACAAAAAATTATCATGTCAAATTTTAGTCACCTTGAAGCAACTTATAAAGATGATTGATATTTGACATTCATTTAAAGTACAAGTAGCAGAAAAATTTCAGACACATATAAAGAGACAGTACATTAGGTATGTCTAAAGTAGGTGCGCACCATAGAGGTAGAATGAGAGGAGGGAAGACTGTTTGAAAAAATTCCTGGTACCGCGCTTTCTACTAAGGTATAAATGATTCTTCCAGGTCCTCCGAGAAACTGGTTGTTCCAGTGGCGTGCTCGAAAGCGTTTGCGGAATACTAGGCATAAAACAAAAATAATTTCATAAGAAAGCATATAAAAGCAGCAGCAGCAAATTTACTGGAGTTTTTAATTGGTTAAGATTCGTTGCTACGGTCGTTGTGTTATCTCCACCTTTGCGCAAACCGAGCTAATTCCTACAATAATGAATCACCTAATGATCTTAATATGCATTGTTAATTATGAAAAATATTGTTTTGTTACCTTTTATAACTGTATTTTAATGCATATACACTGACCGGCAAAAAACCTACCACGCTGTAAAATTTCGCAAAACCAAACTTTAAAAATTGTTAATTTAACTAGTAATCGTTATTTTATTAAAGAACCATTCACACATGATGTATAAATTAGCAACAAAAAAGAAGACAAATAAACGCAGAACTAAATTTAATTTAACAAAATAACAGAAACAGAACGACAATTTGGGAGACGTCTGTAAGAGTTAACGGCATTATTTTCGCGTGAAAACGTTTATTAACTGCCAAACTTATAATCAAATGATGAAAAACACTGTTTACAACAACAGCCTCCTTTATTATTTTAATTAAGAAAATATCCTAATTGGTCTGTTTCTGTTATTTTGTTAAATTAAATTAAATTTTGCGTTTATTTGTCTTCTTTTTTTTATTAATTTGTACATCATGTGTCAACAGTTTATAAATAAGGTATGTAGTGCCATTGGAAAGATTAAAATCATGTATATTTTCAAATTCTATATTTTTTTTTCTTGAATTTTCACATCTATATCGTTATTTCCATCTAAGAATTTAATTTATCAATACAATTAAAATTTCCCTAAATACATGTACTCAACTAAATTAGTCTTAACTGTAGTCGTCTTTACTTTTACTAAGATTTTCCAATTCTATGTCACTTTCACGGCTATTACGTAAAAGAGTTTTGAGAAAAATTTACAAATACTCCTATTTTTTTTTTAACTTAAAATGCAATCGAATCAAGTTACATATTTATGTCATAGATTTATGTCAATTAACGCTTAAACAATGTCATACAAAATAGAGTTGCAAAGAGCCATATACCAGTTAGTTACCCAAGTATCTACAAGTGAAATTGTGAATATATTTTGGACCAAATATATTGCACGCGCAACTATATACAGAACAATTAAAGACTGCGAGGTAGCAATACCACAATAAGTTTAGAAAGATTAAGAAGAAAGACAAGAGCGTGGAACATCAACAAGAAGATTGGCCGGCTTTTCAGCACAATTCATTGGCCGTACTAGAGGTGACGCGGTCAATACATAACAATATATATGGGAACACCATAATAACGACGATGTAATATTTTGGCCAAATTTAGCAAGTTGCCATTATACTAGAATGTCCAGGGCACGGTTGTAGAATAGATAGGTTGATACACTAGCATACATTTGCATATCCCTGGTCAGCGACGCCAATTGCCGATCGCGTCGCCTGGTTTTTGACGTTTTAGGGACACAGAACTCTATAGGCATCTGTCTATAACCGATGTAATTAATAAAAGAAATCGTACTTATCGACTCCGATCAAATGTCATTTACAAATTTTGTATTGTTCATAAAGCAATGTAAACGAAAATCCCCAAAATAACTAGAATGATTTCCGCTCGACAAGGTAGAGGCGCTAGCTGTATGTGTCCCTTCCATGGATATAGGGATCGAAAAGAAGCGTCGCCATCCCAAGCCATTAGTGTACAAACCTATCTATTCTACAACCGTGGTCCAGGGATTGGTTAGAAAACAATAATATAAGTTTTGTACCTAAGAAAAGGTAATCCCCCCATAGTGCCCCCAGTGCGAACAATCGAAAACAAAATTTGGGGAATACTAAGTAGAAAGGTTTACAACAACGGCTGCGAAGCCAATTTAGAAGAACAATGAAGACAATTTTGCGTCGTATTGAATATAACGAATCTTTATCTGTTTTCCCATTAATAATAATTAATTAAGAAATTAGCACATTTCTGGGTTCTTTTTGAAATTCAAATAAAATTAAGTTTGAGCTTCCTATTATTAATTTAAACTTTCTCTTAAAACTTTTTTTTTTACGTTAGGTTTCTCGGAAATTAAAAATGTCTCTAATTTGCTTTAAAATATCTTTAAGATTTTGTTTCCTCTGAATTTTAAATTTTCTCTTCTGGACACCACTAACTTTGTATTTTTTGACTGATGATGAAAGTTTAATTATATCTCAAAGAACTCAAAACCAGCATATAGTATGTACCTACTGAATGAACCAAGTTAACAGCAAAAATGACGTGTAAAAACGCACAAAAAATGAGAGATTCGACGAAAAAATGCCGAACTTATGCATTCCTACATAGTAGCAACAATTATCTAACAGCGATAAACATGAACTCAAATTATCACAATTCACGTATCTGTAACAAATACTCCTATATTCGTAATTTATATATTTTTTAAATTTAAATATTAATAAATTAATTAATAATTAACAATAAAATAATAAAAAAATTAATTAATGTCAAATTTTGACTTGATTAGAGTATTTTTAAGCCCTAGTCTGCAAGGTTGTTTTAGGGGTAGTTTTTAACGGTTTCTCCGAACAGGTTGAAATTTTGTATTAACAATCTTCGTATTGAGAAATAAGCAAATATCGAGTTTTTACTAGATTGGAGCATTTTTAACCCCCAGTCTGCAACGTTGTTTTAGGGGTGATTTTTGAGGGTTTCTCCGAATGGGCTGAAATTTTGCATCAATAATCCTCGTATTAAAAAACTAGGAATTGTCAAAATTTAACTTGATCAGAGTATTTTTAAGCTCCAGTTTGCAAGGTTGTTTTGGGGGTAGTTTTTAACGGTTTCTCCAAACGGGTTGAAATTTTGTGTCAATAATCTTTGTATTGAGAAATAAGCAAATATCGAGTTTTAACTTGATTGGAGCATTTTTAACCCCCAGTCTGCAAATCTGTTTTAGGGGTGGTTGTTAAGGGTTTCTCCGAACGGCTTGAAATTTTGTATCAACAATCCTCGTATTAAAAAACTAGGAATTGTCAAAATTTAACTTGATTAGAGTATTTTTCAGTGCCAGTCTGCAAGGTTGTTTTGGGGGTAGTTTTTAACGGTTTCTCCGATCGGGTTGAAATTTTGTGTCAATAATCTTCGTATTGAGAAATACGCAAATGTTGAGTTTCAACTTGATTGCAGCATTTTTAACCTCCAGTCTGCAAGATAAACTGCGGTCTGCAAATTAGAAACGCCTAAAGTTTTATGCTTTCTAAAAAATGGATACCGTTAACTTGGTCATTGCTAGTGAAAACTGAAAGTATCGGCAACAATGTTTATATTTCTGGCATATTTTTTAACCTTTAATTTAAGAAAACACAACGTAACGAAAAAAGTTC